ACCAGTTCTCTGCTGCTGTACTCGTACTCAGTGTGACTTGCCGTTTCGGCATTCGGAATCCAAGACTTCGACTTTGTGCCTTGCCACTGTGTCTGAGTCCGACCCTCAGTCCGAGTCCGTCGTGTCGAGTGAGTGAGTGTGTGTGCTCTCACTCTCTCCCTCTCTCTCCCTCTCTCTCATCTCCCTCGGCTCACCTCAGCCTCACGCCCGTTACACGAATCCGCGCACTTTCCTCTAACCAGTGACCTAACCGTCGTACTGGCAGGTTAACAAGCCTGAGGGACAACTATGGGAAATGCTGGTGATACTGAGTAAATTTGCTTGCAGAACCAGTGCCATCTCCAGAGGTCCCAGGCCTCAAGCCCTGGCTTGTTAGATTTCTAAAATGTGGTTTGATGCAGGTAGATTCAGTTGAATTTCTTTAGTTCAGGTCCACCATTGCATACTCCAGCGCTCTGTTCCTGCTCCTCTCTTCCAGGTTCGCCATTGTATGCCCAGATTTCTTTTTCGTGCTCTTCCACTCAATTTACTTGCGTCAAAAAGACTCGTCAAAGTTAGGAACAGTCTCTTAGTTCTGCAGGTGCTGGACCCACATGATCTTCACGGCTTCGTGCGTCACATTCTCTTGATGCCTAGTGGATACATACTCTATTTGGTTCTGTGTTTTCTGGAGACTTCGCAGCATTTCACATCTCCATTGTTATAATCTGGGCGGTTCCTTTCAACCGGTTAATGTCAAAATTAGATCAAAACCGGTCAAGAAAAAATTGAAATTGTTGAGCATAAGGATGGCGTTCACTGGTTTGCCAAATGTGGATCTCCTCGTAAGCCCCAAACCCTAACCAGGATCAACCTCATTTCAAAACAGAGCATCTATGTTGTTCGTGGAGATGATCCTAAACCCCAAACCCTAATCACTGTCAACTTCAAATCAAAATAGGTCGGAACTGTTTAGGCCAAGGTCTTCGTTGGCCTGTTGCATATTTGGAGCTTGCTGGAACTGTTGAGCTGAAGGTCATTGATACTGTAAGGCTAATAATCTGCTGATTGTCGTCACATCCAGCCCATTGGCTGTCTATCCGTCTGCCACACTGTGTGAAGTACGTAAGATCCTGCTATCTGAAAATATTGGTAATGTTTTGTGCATACATTCCGTAATGCAATAATCCTATCCGGACCGTTATGGATGTTCCTGCTGCCACCATCTCTGTTTAGTTGCCAATTTGTTTGAATTTGACGATTTGCTATATTTTCTATCGACTCCAGCAAAACGATTGCCAATTAGGTGACACTAAAATGGATAACCTGAGAAAGCAAAATTTGCCACATGGCAAGTGCTCACTTCTGTTTATGTGTGTGTGTGTGTGTGTGTGTGTGGGTGTGTGTGTGTGTGTGTGTGTGTGTGTGTGTGTGCCGGTCCTGCGATGGAGCGCAGGGAGAAGCTTTGGTGATGGGCTATGATGCGATTGGGTGAGTTTTAAGCAATTAACCAATTTGTGATGGAGGGTAATGTGAAATGATGTTTGCAATCTTGCTGTTGCGTATCCTCTACGTTCCTGAAAAGGACTGTTAAACTGTGTGATGGTCAACTTTGAATTTAACTATCATATTACTGCATCCAGCAGAATCTGAACTCTTGACCTACTAATCAACACCCATATGTGCATACTATACTATTGAGCCAGTGAGGGCACCTCACAGTCAAATCTCTCTCTCTCTCTCTCTCTCTCTCTCTCTCTCTCTCTCTCTCTCTCTCTCTCTCTCTCTCTCTCTCTCTCTCTCCCCCCCCCCCCCCCCCCCCCTCTCTCCCCTCCCTCTTTTTGTCTTTATCCTTTCTCTCTTCCTCTTCTCCTCCTCCTCCTCCTCCTCCTTCTTCCTTTTGTTTTTTTTTTTGGCCAAAAATTTGGACCACTTCCCGATTTAGGTGTCATCCTTGTGCAGGGGCCATGCTAATCTTCTCTGCATCGTTCCAATTTCAACAGATGTCCAGAAGGACTTCTTTCTTTCTTTCTTTCTTTCTTTCTCTTTCTTTCTTTTTTTGTTTCTTTTCTTTATTTTGTTATGATCCTGTCCAATTTCAAGATACACATTCATCAGATAGTACAATGTCGTTCAATTGCAGAAAGAAATGAATGAACTTGAGAGGAGAGAGAAGGTTAGAAAAGAAGAAGAAAGAAAGAAGAAGAAGATGATGTACACCAGCATAGACAAATGATACGGCTCTTCTTCTTCGCCAAACTCTTGCGAGGATCTGGGTCCTCGGCAGGCCTAAGGGGCCTGTGCTGCAGATGTGCCCGCCCTAAGTGAAGGCGGGCCTAACATATCACGAGAGGCCCTCAGCTGTCAATTTAGTATTTGGGATCCAGGCAGTTTCGACGGGACAGTTGGTTGAGGGAAAGACAGGCTGAGCAGCAAGACATTCCACGGCCTTCCAGGCCTTTCCAAAAATGCAGGCCCTGGGCGAGAATCGCAGCCTCATACACAGGCAGCTGGGAGGCCCAACCGAACGGAGGCCCAGCAGCAGCATCGGAGGCACAGTCTCCTGGGGCCTACCGGAAGCTTCTGGGCAGAGGCCCAGGCCAGCCAGGCCGCCGAGAGAGGCAGGCTCTTTCCATATAGGAAAGAGTTCGCTGCCTGGTCAGGGATTGAGTACTTGCATGCTGGCGGCAGCGCTGCTGGAGCGGACGCTCGTGGGCTGCTGCTGGCGCTGAGAGGCAAGGTGCTAGGGTGTGCAGTCGTGCAGGAAGCAGGGCGCTGCTGAGGGCAGCGCCATAGCCCAGCCTTTATAGCTGGATGGGCTTGGACTACAGTGAGGCACATGGGTGGTCTTCGGGTGCACAGAGGGAAGACGTGGGTGTAAGTCAGGGAAGAGAGGGAAGGATGATACCTGGTATTGGCGATGGTCTGCTGAGGGCAACATCTTCAAGTACTTTGTGGGCTGCTGAGGTCAACAGTTGCATTGTCAATTAGTAGGCTGGTAGTAGCTGTGTAGGGAGTAGGCTGGGCACCGAGCGCCAAGTAGGGAGATAGGTCTGGGCACATATGTTGGTGGTGGCGAGAGCAAGCTCTCATTGACATTGGTTTCGAGTGTTACGATTCTCCATTGGTGTCTTATTGGTGCAATGCTGCTTTCTGGACACTGTGATACGATCTGGCTTTCAATGTGATTGTGCAATCTGAATATTGTCATCTCGCTGTTGCTCATTTTCCTTGCACTCTCTCCTCCTCCTTATCTCCTCCTCTCTTATTCGCACAAGGAATAATACAATGCTGAATGGCTGAACCAGAATCAATGTCCGAAACCCTCTTCTACTGCAGGTATCACTTGAGGTCCACCATAGCCATGGCCGCCTCTCTCTCTCTTCACTCTCATAGGCCGAGGCTATGGCGGACTACTAGGCCTTGCCCAGATGCCCAAAGGACAACCCAAAGCAGCTATGGCTGCTCTAGCTCAGGCCGCCATGCCTAGCTTTGCCTCAAAGCTTGTTGGTGTAGCTTCTACCCCCAGCTGGGACCTTCCTGCCGCAGCGCCCACCAAGGTGATGAAGATGGCTGCCACCATAGCCAGGTAAGTACCTCTGGCGCGCCTCCCTAGCCCTGGCCTTCTTCCTCCACCGTGTCCTTGCTCCTTCCCCAGCAGCGCTGCTGAGTGCTACCGCTGCTCCAGCCAGCGCTCCAACCAGTGTGTCGCCAAACTTGCACACCGACAATGAGGCTGGGCTCTTCGCCCGGCCTGGAGATATAGCGGCCTGCTTGCCTCTTGAGCGGTGACTTCCAGGTCGCTCGGCCCTCCAAGCAACTGATACCTCCTCCCTTCCGGAGGGAAACATCATTGCAGACTCTGATATTGCCCGTACAGGCCCTAGACTCAGACTGGTTGGACTGGTACCCGCCTAGACCTAGCCTACAACTACTGGCCTCCAAAAATGCCACTTTTGTCTTCTTCTGCTCGGCCTCAAGTACCCGGCACATCTACCTCTTTAGGGTGTGGTACCGGCCTACCTGCTACTTGAGTGTTTCCCCGCTGCTTCAAGTGTTGCGGGCCTCTTCCCCCGGCACTTGAGTGTTTTCCCCGCTGCAATCCTCAATGTCGCGGCCACAAGTAAGTACTGGCCCTAAGGGCCCAACGAACGAACAAGTGCCCTTGTGGGTCAGACACACACTCAAGCCATCAAACACTCAGACAGACATGCAGAGCAGCAAGCGTGCACACACACAGACTTAGAGAACTTAGTAGCAAGCGGGAAACTTAGCAAGGCATTCAGTCTATATGGGCAAAACCCAGAAATCAGTTGTGTCTCTCAATCCGTGTTTGGTCAGGTCATCACACTACCCCCCCCTCAACAGCGAGGTCCCTTCGAGCGAGTATCTCAGTCTGAGTCCCCGACAAACTCGTCGTAAGCAAACAAAGCAAAGAGATTTCAGGAGCACTCTACCGCAATGAGCTTGGAGAGATTTTAGGTACAGCATTAGAGGCGATTTGTCGCTCATAGGCTTTAAGAACGCGAGGTGCGCTGCACAGCAGTTCCTTTTTAGAAATCCAGTATTGATTGTCCAACGGGTGATGCATAAAGTGAACCTGATATTGTATGTTACGTCCCCGCCCTACGTGCTGTTTGATCCTATCTATCTCATGACCGCTGTTGATCGCTCGAGGAATCATGTCTTCACGGTAATCGAAGGACTTAGCGTCTCGGTGTATATACAGTTTTGATGCATGAAAGACGGGGTATGTGCGCAGATGAGGCGGCACAACAACTGTGTATGAAGGGCGAACCCATCCTTGCCAATCACTAAGTTCGTCCTCTTTGTGATTGCTAGAAGTAGAATCATTAAGTGAAGTAGTATTGGTACTAGCCGCAAAAGTAGATGGCATATGAGTAGGGTGAACATAGGCAACATACATTTGTTCGTCCTCTTTGTGTTTGCGCCACTTTTTGCAGAACTGCATGGCATTGAGAAAAGTCACTGGGGACTCATGCTTCTCATCCAAGAGGACGGGAAGCTCGTTCCCTTGAGCATCTTTGACTATGAAAAATGACTCCTTCCACTTGGTCCATTCGCATTGGGACTGCAGCCAGCCCAAGCCAAGGACTGTGTCGAAGGGACACTTGTCAAGGACATAGAAGTTCAAAGCGTGGGTGAGTTTGTCCTTGTCAAAGGTAGTGTGCACACCTTTGACTGCATGCGTAGATGAGACAACCTCTTTGCTGCCTACTTGAGTTTGGCAAGGGTTCTACAAAGCCACTTGCTTCACCTCCAAGCCCACTTTGCGTACCCCGTGTGGTGACATAAAGTTAGTTGTCACACCACAATCAATCAAGACACGAAGATAGCGATGGTTTATGAGAAGTTTGAAGAAGATTAACTTCATTGTCCCTTGAGCACGATGATGTTTCATCTCAGCCGAATGCTCTAAGTGATAGTGAAAGTCGACCGTCTCAGACTCCTCCCAAGGCTCTACGTACAAAGCATGACAGACTTCAGCCTTGGATTCAGCAGACGATGGGTCTTCAAGAGAAGACTGCTGATCTGCATCAGGTTCAACCTCCCTTGCCGTAGAGGATGCTGAAGTCGACTCTACGCCCGATTCTGGTTTCCCTGCAGCCTATAACATTCTTGGACTTTATGGTTCGGTTTCTGGCAATGCAGGCATACCCCTTTCTTCAGGCTAACCCTCCAATCATTTTCAGTGATCCGGAGGGCAATCCATGGTTTAGTGGTTGCATCCTCCGGTTTCACTGGGATTTTGACTCCCTTGGGAAGTTGGACATAGTTCTTCCCCGAATTCCGGTTCGGTCCCTTTACATTGGCAGACTTTCTAAAGGCACTTAATTTTCACTCTTCATTATTCACATTAGAGTCATGGGCTAAAGAGTTGGCCGTGTCAGGTTCCTGTTTTTTGTCGTCACCAAGAGTGGGGTCGTCTGCATAGGCCTCCTCATCGGCCTCCAACTGGTCATGCACAACAAAACGGTTGCTGCCTCTGAATCGCCTGCCGCCAATAGGCTTTTTGCTGCCTGTTGTGGTAATGAGGTCTTGTGCCTCAAGGCTGACCACATCCTGCATGAGGGAAAGCCAGTCAGTGTAACCAATGAGCTCTTTGCCTAGGCGATGCATGTAGGTAGTGAGAACTGTGCCTTTCACTACATCCAAGCATGATTGTGCAGTAATCTCCAGTCCGGGTGTCGCAAAAAGTTTGTTGACAAATAATTGCAGATTATGCATGGTGCCCGTCCATTTGCTGCGCTTGAGATCATCAAGTTTCTTTCTTGTTCTTGCAACAGCATGTGGATCCTTGATCTGTTTGATCAGGATCTCCTCAAGTGTGGTTATTGGTGTGGCTTTAAGCCACTGCGTCAGATTGATTTTGGTGTACCCGGCCTGTGTAGCTTGGACTTCTAAGAAGCCTCGTACGGCGGGCTCGACGTTGGTCCCCATGATCAAGGACTGGCTTATTGGTTGAGTTC